TTATTTATTAATTAAGTTATTATTATTTAGTTATTCAGTATATTGTATTCGTATTGTATTTTATAAAAAAACTCAATGATAAAATGGATTATAGTAAAAATCTTATTTATTTAAGGCATACTTTTTTTAAGGGGGGGGGCGGGCGCGTGCCTAATAAAGATTAAATGTATTGGTCGCCATTGCAAAAAGGTTGGGAAACGCTGTACTAGAGTATTATAGATGTGCTCCTCATACTCACTCTAGCACAACTTTAACAAGTATCAAAATTACGAACAATTTTAGATATCCAATAGATTTGATTGTTAATATCTAAAATTATTAATGCTTTTTTAATAAATGTAGTAGTTTAAATTCATACCCCTTCTAGATCTCCGTCAAACAAATCTAAAGCAAGTGTATCCAAATGGTTATACTCTGATTCTTTGTAATATTTAGCAACGCTACGATGAGCATATAAACTTAAACTATGTTTTTTTACAGTTGGATCTGTATATATAAGTTGAGCAACTAGAAATTGAAACCAYGTTGAACAGTGACTGCGGATCAAACTTATAGAATCTGGGTCTCCGCAGATAATCTGAAAATTAATTTTAACAGATGTACTATTAAAATAAACATATTTACATGTATAACATTGAACTAAATACCTTCATAACATCGTTGAGATTTGAATCGGATAAGAATATACCACATTCTAATTTGGATTTTGCACTTGATTGCCAGCCCTTGAATCTTGATGTATATTCTGCTATTGGCAGACCACCGTATACCTAAAAATTAATGTTTGATTATTAATATAGTTCTGATAGACTAAATTGTTGACTTACAACTTAAAGGCTGGATTATAAGAGGACACCATACTCTTATGTATTGTCTTCATCAAAATATATGTCCAGCAATTTAATTTTTTGCTATAAGCTGAAATATCAGAGTGAAATGACTAATTAAATAATCTTACCTTTAAAATTTGTAATAGATCTATTCACTCTAATATATAAAGCTAACAACACAAAATTGGAACTTCTGAACATATTTTTTGATAAATTATGTGTTAGTATGATGGAGACAACACATACGTGTATGACGTAATCTTAAGAGTAAAAAATAAATATTATTTAGTCTAACCAGTGAGCRGTAAAATCCTGCAATCCCAACTTCTAAATCTATTAAGAGTACGTAACAGTGGTATTTGTTGTCTCCGTCTTACCAGTGCGTAATATAGCAAATTTATGCTCAGCCAAAGAATCATGTATAAAAATATTATACAGTACACTATTATCTGAGTAACCCTGTTAAACCATTGAAGATCACAGGAATAGCAGAATACAAGTTGAAACAATTGATTTATTATGATTTATGTATGAGGTAGGTTATTATACCAATAGTAAATCCAAATATTAATGTTATTTAAAAATGTAGAGATGACTGTTGTACAATACTCTCTACATCACAATTTAGACTTAACTGACTGGCTATTACAACAATATTTATATATATATGCTCATACTTTACATTCCTGTGCTCTGTTAACAAATTCACTGAGTGTGATATAAATGACGAATCAGTAATCTGTAAATCTTACACCGTCCAAATTAATTACCCAAATACTCAACTAATAAAAATGCTTACTTTAGAATAGAATAAGGTTGTAACGTAAACAATGTAAAACTTACACTATAGGTAGGCATAGATTTAAATATTTTTATTGCATGAATAAATGGTTCAGTGTCACTTTGAGAGTGGTTGGACAATAACTTTCTGGCCAAGTCAATGTTTCCTTGTAAAACTACTCCAATAACAGTATCCCAATAAAAAGTAAACTTTTCTTCTACGCGTTCATCAGTTAAGTAAGTAATTGTATTTTCTATAATCACTGATGCTTGGTTTTCAGCATTTTCATAATGAATCTTAATCCAATCTAAGAGATTGTTCAAAATAGTATCCCCTAAAAACAAAATAATAACATATTAAAGATTTTTATATAATATACACAAACACAATACAAAATATTACAATACTAATAGTTAATTAGAAGTATATAATGCAATAAAGATATAAAACTATTTGATAAAGGAATTAAATGTTAAAAATTAAAAATTAAATGCAAATATAATACCAGGAACAATCACAAGGTAAAGCACTTCACACAGATGCCAAATGAGTTGAAGATTGTGCAGCAACATTTTGTATTGATTGTATGTCTCATTTGATTTGTCCAAGTTGTTTCGATCAATTGCTAAGATACAAGTTGACAAGATTGCCCTATTATAAGTATTTAAAAGAATTACAAATTATTTAATACAAGTATTAATAAACTAACTCTCAATTAAATGTTCTATAAATCCAAATAGTTTAATAGTTAGTAACCAGTGACAATATGAAGATGATTGAATTACCAATTAACTAGCAACATTCATAGTTGTATCATGAAGGATTAAAATTAATAGTATAACATGATTATTCATTTGATTTAAAAAATGTATGCATTATTTAATTTTGATGTTCATTTGGTAACGATAACATTACATACATTATTGTTGACAATAAATAATTAGTAAAGATTAAACTAAGTTGATAGCAATATTTAACGAATAAGTAGGACTTGATTAAATCACCTGTATTTTCTACTATAGTACAAAGCATCAGTTGGCTTGGTTGGGTCATTCACGTTGATTTGTAAATCTTGGAACACTCCACTTGACTCATTTACCAGCTGTCTTACTTTAGGATCAAATAGCATTGTTTTATGTTTCAGGTGTATAATGTTCCTTTCAGTTTTATCATCGCCAGATGAATTTTGATTGCCGGATGGTCCAGACATTTTGGTTGGAAATATACAAATATTACTCATTCCAAACCATGAACCAAACATCCTAACTTCATCATCAATAAATGATGGATCAGGAATGGACTGTAAAAATACAAACATTTAAATTGTTCAGAATAAAGAATAAGAACCTATAAAGTAGACTTTCTAGTTCAAAACTAGAAAACCAAGTTCAAAAAAAAATAATTGTATTAATTTTCTATCAGTTGAGATATGTTTGAAACATAACTAAGATCTCCATTATAATGCATGAGTTTTGAGTACATACTAAAATAAGTCCTATAGGTAATTACCAAAGTGTCATAAACTATAGTTTTGCTCATTTTTAGTTTTCTGAATGTACACGGGAAAGAATTTAATATATATTCTATGATAGGTATAACCGTAAAAGACTTCAAGACTTAATAATAATAATAATAATGAGTAGAAATAAAATACAATAAAAAAAAAACGATATATTATATTATAATTTAATTTAATTTAAAAATATGAAATCCGTTATCAATTTATCATATACAATTCTTCGGCAGTTCGGCGGTACTGCGGTCTCTGTATCGGGTATCCCGGTATCCGGCATCCGCCGTCCAGACGTCCGGCAGGTTAGGTTATTTATGTTCATGGACTAAGCAATAAATGATTCCACTGAATATTCCATGGACATTTATTTTCCCGGTAACGGTTTTTATTTGAATAATAAATTCCTAACGTTTTTACCAGGATATCTGATTATTAGTTATTACCTATGTGGAGTGTGGACTATAGTACTATATCTAAATTTATATTTTATTTTGAAAAAAAAATCTATTTATTTTAACATAATTTAAATTTTAAAAGGACGATACACACGYATTTTCGTCTCCGTCTTACAATGCATATCATACCAAATTCATGCTCAGCAAATCACGTTTAATTTAATTTAATAAATATGTCAGATTTATCTCCATGGATGTAGAAATGAGTATTTCAGTGACTGAGAGACTTGTCATTATAATATTTAAAGTATCTGGACATGAGTTCTTCTGTAGTAGGTAAATATGATCTGGGGTCTTTAAAAGGACTTAGTGATTTTCTTGAATAACGTAATTTGCAGAAGGTGTTCGAATTACAATTTCTAATTATTAACCTTACAAGTTTTTTGAAAAACCAAAATCAAAAAGTATTATCCATATAGTTGGTAACTGTTAATGTTATCGTAAATCTGCTTAAAGTCGATAAATAATAAAAATACATTAATACATTTAAAACTGCAGTCTGTAATCTCCAGGCTCATAAGTTCTAAACATTTTTCACAATTAATAATTATTAGAAATTTATTAACGATCAAAGGTTTCCTGAAAGATCTTGTCACCAACTGCTGTGCTAGTCAACTGCAAGTATAAATTAGTGACAAAGTTTATGTTCTTATATGAGTTTAATTTATATACTAAAAATCATTTTCTATTTTTTACAATTTAAGTAAAGGAAGTTTTGACTACTTGAAGAAAAACTTATTGAAAACTTAGTGTTGTATTTCTAATCCTTAGTTATGAA